ACTCGCCATCAAATGATTCCACGAGCGACTCGCCATCAAATGATTCCACGAGCGACTCACCATCAAATGATTCCACGAGCGACTCGCCGTCGACTGATTTCACAAGCGACTCGCCGCCAACTAATTCTACAAGCGACTCGCCATCACAGGTCAGTAATAATTTTACGACCAACTCGCCATCACCGCGATCTACATCAGAAGAAAATAGTAATGTTGTTCCAGAGTCCACTAACGTTCGCCCGCTATCCTCGCAGTCGGATGCAAAAGGCACGAGTTCGGCAGTGTTTGTGACCATTGGTGTGCTAGCTGCCTGTATTTTTGTCGGTGCGCTGCTCTTTGCCATGTACTCACGAAAAAAGAGGCGCGATGGTGCACAGGCTGATGGATTTGGAGGAGCGGCAGCATTTGTTGCTCCTGCTGCCTCTATAGCGAGTGATCTTGAAGGCAGCTCAAGTAATGACACGCCAAAGAGCGACATTGTCACGATGTAGTTATTTCGTTTTCTTAGAAACGTACCTACAACTTATTGTTCTGGTATATTACCTCGCTGGCATTCCTGCGAGAAAAGGGTGCCGTCAGTCGAGACAATTTCTATTCTAATTCTATTACTGTTTTAGTCCGTTATCGTAATCTCGACGTATCAATGCCCTGCCACAATAATGTGCTGTATCTGATTGTACAATTCTTGGAGACTAATGGACTCTATGCCAGCTCGTTAGCGTTGCAACAGGAAAGCGGAGTAGATCCTTCTTGGTTGCGAGGAGTATCACATGAGGTTGCGCTATTACGGCGCTGGGTCTTTGCTGGCGATGTGAAAAGAGCTCGAGCTTTGCTATTGCCTTTAGCGACTGTGGATTTCGTGTCGGAGGAATTAAAAACTGCGCTGTCAGCTCTTAACGAGCTGGATATGGTCATGAAAAGTGAATTGCAAGATTCAATGCACTCAAGACTCGCACAAGCCAAGTTAAATTGCTTTCGAAAACTAGTCCCTCTATTTCGAGGACCTTTCAGTATGGAGGAGAGCGATGTTCAAAACTATGTGGCAATGCCAAAAGATCAACTGTTAGGACTTATTGATGATGCAATTCGACTTCATCGGCAAAAAGGAGAAAATGCAGCGCAGAATTGTATTACAGTGGCATGTAATAGTTACGACAAGGTTACAGTTGGTAGGGAGCAGGAAGTCAGTGACATTCTGCTAATAGATACACCACATGATGTTGTGGCGAGCGAAGAGAATTCGATTGTTTCTGTGGGGCACTCAGCGGAATGGATGACATTGCTCAAAAAGCAACACAATCCGATAGCTTTGTCAATTCAGTTGAGCACTAGTCAATGGCAAGGAGTTGGTGGCTATATTGATGGAGAGGATACAAAAAATGAGATGAGCACTGCAGATGTTGCTGTGAGCTGTGAGATTGATGTAAAGGAAGTTCAGGATGCAGCAGTGAACTGTGGACTAAATGTAAAAGAGTTGATAGATGTTGGGGTCAGTTGTAGATTAGAAAGCAAGACAGTTGATGCCGCAGTGAATTGTGAATCGATTGAGTGGAAGAGCGAAGCGATTCAAACAGAAAGTGTACAAGTAATAAACAAAGATGAAAACCAGGTGCTAGGACGAACTGAAGAAACGAGTAACCATCAAACGCAGAGAGGTCCAATCATTATAGCAGGAGTGCATGTTGACGAAGAGGAGTATGGGAGAGTAAATTTCGAGAATCACGGTAATCAACGAGACACTAATTTCCAGCGTTTGCAAAGCTCTAATATGTCAATCAAGAATGTCACAACCAGTGAGACCAACATCAGTCATTGCGATGCAGATGTCACTATGCCTCTAGAAATGAACCAATTCGAGTCGAGTCAGATGTTTGTTGAGAAAGATCCTTTACTGAAAAACGACAATTGGTCAAATTTACATCGAACGTTCAGTGTTGAAGCGAACTATCATGTCGAAGATTCGAATTTAAGAAGAATTCCGAAGTGTTATGATGAGCTGACGCTGGACCATGTGGTTTGTGCAGAAGTCGTAGCCGAAGTAAAGGAGCCCCAAGCCGTGCGTGCGCTTGATGTGCATCCTTCAGGATCTCATCTCGCTGTTGGCACGAACGCACGTGCGTTACGAATTTTTACCTTGTCGAGTCCTTTACACCATCATCAATTTTCGTGGTCGCCATCTCGTAACATGATACTCCCACTGTTGCCAGTTGCTCTTGAGCGACACAAATATCACGATTCGGGGATTTATTGTCTCGCTTATAATCCTCATTTAATTGGTCAGATGAGTGCTACGTCAATGGTTGCATCAGGAGCAGCAGATGGGTCGGCAAAGGTGTTGATCTTGAATCATACCGCATTTGTGCAAAATACAAATCAGGAGATTTGGGTCCAGCGAGGTGACAACAATGGGTATTTGGGTAAAACTCGGGCACTTCACTTTTCATCGCCGCATTTGCTATGGATCACTGCAACAGCTGATCGTCGCTTGTGTTGCTGGGATATTCGGAGAACTCACAAAAACGAGAAATCGGGCCTTGTTCAAACGCTAGATGGTCATGTTGGAGAAATTCAAGCTATTGCCATGCCCCATCCAGAAACTTCAGCGTCAACTAGTACTTTGCTACTAAGTGCAGCACTTGACAGAACCGTGCGGCTCTGGGATACTCGTAGTCGACGCTGTGAGCGTTTGGTGACGTCGGAAGCCCACGCTGCCTTCTCTTTACATTTTCATCCAAAAAATGACAAACTTATCGTTTCTGGCCATCAAGATGGCAGCGTGGCTTTATGGGATCTGCGGGCTACAGCACGAGATGCATTGCAGCGGATGATACCACATCAAGACGAGTGTCGATCAGTGCGTTGGTCTCCTGGAGGCCAATGGCTACTTAGCGCGGCCTTCGATGGAACACTCTGTGTCACGCAAGCATCTCGCTCGCTACTCCAGCCGTTAGCTAGCTACCACAAACATTATGGTAAAGTATTGCAAGCACAATGGCATCCAAATGAACCCGCATTTGTGTCCTCTGGTGCAGATAAACGGGTCAAACTTTGGACTTTTGGGTAATGTGCATAGTCCGAGCCTGTATTTATTATAGATCCGTGCTATACACATTCGAGGTTCGATAATGTATATGATACAGTGGGGACAAGATAGATGATTGCAGACTTTATTTACAAACTTTTGAGCTCTTTGCTACGATGGATATTTGGACGATCCACGTCTCATGCGAGATAGTGCAATTTTCGATGATAGCTCGGGTTCTGACGTTCAACCTTGTAAATGCAAATTTGTCTTCTTTTTCAGATGATTATTACCATTATTAGCTCCTAGACGTCAAAACTACATAATTATATAATTTAAGGGTGGTGCGAGTGGATACGTGAGATACAAGGCAAATTGGCGATAGTTATAACTAAAAAATAAGCTAGAGCGACTTTCAGAAACCAGGCTGAGCGCTTCAAATTGTCTCCTTTACTTGTTCCCAGGAGACTTAGAGCGTTTGTTCTTCTTTTTCCTGTGACTATTAGAGGAACCACCCAAAAAGCCCTTAGGGTCACATTCGGGACACAACCACGTATCTGGATGACGGCCGTCGGCCAGTCCGACACACTCGAGATGATACCACTGAGATGGATTTGGGCACGTTTTACCGTCGCACGCAATCATATTGCCATAGCTTGGCAAATTGCAAATGCAGTAGAGTTCATTGTCTTCGCCGGTATCGGCGTCTTTCTTCGTCTTTTTCGTCTTGCCACCCGACAGATTTGAGAGTTTCGAGCTATTTGGTGGACCTTTGCGTCCGTCGTTCCCATTCCCTCGACTGTTATAAGTGTTATTCCCCCCGCTCGAGTAACTGTTACCATGTCCGTGGTTAGAAGCATTCATAGAGACACCGTTACTCGAGTGATGATTAAAGTTGCTTGTATTGCGACCAGAAGAAACAGAGTGATCACGCTGCCGCTTGCGACTGTTTGACTTGCGCTTGGCCTTTTCAACTGCAGCTTGCAATTTGCGCTCTTTATCGCGAACAGTCGAACGCTTCACTGCCGCCCGCTCGCCATTACGCAAACGTTGCATAAACGCAACAATCGAGTCGTCTTCTTCTACCTCTAACGACAGATCAAAATGACGCGCCACTTGAGCTGCCAGATCTTCCTTTGTTGTGTTTTCGTTCAGTTTAAGGTGGTAGTACTTGGCGTAGCGCTTTAAGGCTGCAAGCTAATCAATAAAAATCATACATATAGTCAAATTCATTGCGGCAAGCGTTCAAGCGACAGCATACCCCTAAGCCCTTGAAGTCGACCATAAGCCGCGATGGGTACAAGACGCGCTTAATTCGCGGTTGGTGACTTATGTCGTCTACATTGTCGTAATAGCGTTCGCTATCTTCAGCTTCTGATGATAACAAATATTCAGTAGGAGAGACATAAGACGACATCATATATTTGTAGCTCGACATACCTCCGTCAAAGTCGTACACATTGTAGTGTTCATCCTAAACCAAATGCAGACACAAACGTGCATGAATGAAGAAGTCACTCGGCATGTAGAGTAGCAAGAAGTAACGGGAACGAGGAATTAAGCGTCTAGCCTACCATATTAATGCTGAAGACGGAGGACGAGATGCGAAGCTAGAGGCTGAGAGGGCGTCGACTTGAGCTGTTTTAGGAATTTCTGGTTAAGTGTTGATCTACAATTAGAGCCACATACTAATTGTATCGACACAAAAACGAGTCAGTAAGCATTTATATATATATCATAAGGATTTTCTTTAATAAAAGATATGATGGGTTCTAACAAAGTATTACTCCAAACTGATAAAGAATTTTTTGCAGAGCAATTGGTTATAATATAAAACTCAAAATATCTACAAGCACAATTTTCGCGAGATTCATATCCATCATTTAAGAAAATAATTTGATGCACAACATCTTTCATTTAGTAATATAACTCAGAAGTATAATAGAAACCTTCGGCGCGGAGAAAGCTTGACTTTGAGATTTCGCTCAATAAACGCACAAAGTGTTTAGCTCGTGTGCTCCTACTAGAAGCAGAATCTCAAAAGATAGCATTTCCGCTATTATAAGAGTACGAACATTATGAGCTTAATATGGTAAGACTGATATTAAAAGTAGGAATTAAATCTGTTATAACTCATACCTGATGTTTACCATTAACCCTCTCTCTTAGAAAACTGCCTTTCTTTTTATCCACGTGCCCCCAGTACTGTTAAATACTCACAAATACACCAAATTTCGTACAATTGAATGTAATAAATCAATTGCACCAAATGTGTACAAAACAGTCTGTTTACATATAAGAGCAAATTCCATATAAGAACCAAGACATAGTAAGCTTTCAGAAAGCGCCGCATTAGCGAGATTCCGGTCCTTAGAACTTCCTGAATTATCACGGCCAGGACTCGCGAAGCTTCTCAGAATGTCTGAATATCGTCTCAGTGATCCTTTGTGAGCATGGAGCAATTCTACTTTTTCCCCAAGGCATGCAGGACGGGCTTAATAAGCTGAGTTCTTGTTGGTTCGAGGGCGTGTGACAACATTGCTTCGAAGAAAGCCGAAGCGATAAATGCGCGTCTAGATGCTATGAGAATGTTCCTCTAGAGCACCTAGAGGAGAAGATGTCGGTATCGACAGCGTCCATGACGCCACGTCGACAACGGTGACTCCTCTCGACTCAGGTCGCTCATGGTAAGCCTTAAGACCTTCGAGGGTAAGGATAGAGAAAATCTTATGCTCTTGGTAAGAATGGCCAAGAAGGCTATGGCATCTGCCATGGTCCAGAACGAGCAACAGCGCGTGGCGCTAGCTAACTCCAAGCTCAGAAAGATAACGCAAGAATGAGCACTAACGTGCGGTGCTTCGATTGAAGCGGCGTCCCCCTCCTGGATATTGCTGAAGCGTCAGCTTTTGCAAGTGTTCTTGTCGCCTAACTAGGCATATTGCGTGCGATCGCATTTCGTTGTCGCCCGAAATGGCAAAAAGGAGTTGGTGGACTTTGTTCAAGAGTTGAGAGCTCTCATTGCCGGGATGACAGCCGATCCTCCCGATGCGGTCACAGTGACCCTCTTTATGGAGGCCCTCCGGCCAGAATGGATGTCTTCCGTGGGCATCCGCCCTCTTTTGAAGAAGCGGTGTACGTGGCGATGAATGCCGAATTCAGTCGCCACGACTCGGTTGGAATGCACACTCTCAGATCTCGTCGAGCGGGTCTGAGCCAATGAATCTCAGCTATGCTGAGAAAGAGGTGGGAGAGTTCCGAGCTGGATTATATTTTTGATTTCTTCTTATCCACACTGTCAGCTGAAGCCAACTATAATGTACAAGGTCGACTTGTCACGCCAAAGTTTATGACATAGTTATATAGCCGGGCAGCGCTTATACATCCGACGGTGTTTTGTCTGTGGAGACACCCGTCACCTTCGGACTGGATGTCTCCTACGCATGGCGCGCTAAGGTTCATCGAACAGACGTCCCCCTTCTAACCAGTCTTGTTTGTCGCGAGGAAAAGACAGAGACCAGTAGGGCGCCCCGCGCCCTACATGGAGAAAAACTGAGTTCTGTTGTGCCTCAAGGAGGTAGAGGGCAGCAGGGCCCAGCACTAAAGATATCCGTGCTCTTGATTACGGAACATGTATGCAAGCTGGGCTTATTGGTCGTAAAAGCCACCGTGATGGGCTTCGATAACCCATGGAAAATCCTTATCAATTCTGGTGCGTCGGGCAATTATGCACGACTCCACGATCAAGGGAGGTCAGCTGTTTGCTGAGGCGCTGAAAGCGCAGTTGAGTGACACCGCCACTTTTCGCTTAGCGACGGGGACTTGTGTATTTGTGCCGAGGGTCCCCGCGGACCTCGGTTTCCAGTTTGATGACTTCGATAGCGTGGAAGGCTGCTTAGTCTTAGACTTGGATGACAGGTATGATCTTATCCTTGATATGGCATGGTTGGAACACCATGAGCCATGAATAAATTGGACGTCGAAGACCGTGGACACTACACACATCTCCTGAGTGGACCTTCGGTGAGTCATGACTGGGAGGCGGAAGCGCTATTGGTGCGGGCACTGGACCGGGACGGTCAATGTGCTAGATTTCGGAGTATCCGAGTTGTCAAACACCGAATGTGTACAGGACATGTGCCCCGAATGTGGCTCGCGGGCTGGACGTGAAGTGGCACGTAACTCACTGAGCGCTGCCAAAGTCGCTGCATGCCAAGAGTGGCATGGTCAGCCAAGGGCCGAGGCATCGAGGGTGAGGCCCCAGTGATGCACGTGGAGTGGCACGTAGTCCACTGAGCACTGCTCACGCCTGGAAGCAGTTGCTGCATGCCAAGAGTAGCATGGCCGAACGAGGACCGAGGCAATCTGGGCAAGACCTTTCTGATGCGCGTGGAGTGGCACGTCATCTACTGGACGAAGACTGCGGAAGTAGCAGCTCTTCTTCGCATGTTGTTAATAACATCAAGGCTCCGATGGAGCAGGGAGTGAGGATACTGGACGACGCCGAATGCGTGTCTCCACCTGTCTCGTGAGACGTTAAACTTATATACGGTGGTGACGACAAAGCCGTATGATATCGGCAAGATGCGAGGCGTCAACCTTGACCCACGCTGTGTCTACCTTAGATGATAGCGAACAGCTATACACCCGTGTTAACGATATGACGGGGGAGGAAGACGGCGACGTCACCCTGGAGGCTTTTCCAGCTATGGATGCTCTTTTTGAGCTGAACGAGATGTCATACGAAGCATCTGGCGGTGCCTTGAAGGCGGGCCATTCAGCTGAGGTGGTCATTATGAGACCGAACGAGGAGATTAACTCGTCGTCGTTTTTGGATGAAGCTGCCTTGGATGACACTAAAAGGGTGCTGAGAGCGCACAAAGTGGATCGTCGATCCTGGAGAATGCTTCTATCCTCTGGTTTAGGAATTTCAAGACGTCGTCCCCAAAGACCCGCCGTCAGTCTTACCTCCGGACCGAGGTGTGCGTCATGAGATTGACCTGGTTCCGGAAACAAATACTGCGTAACAAGCTAATGATTCCCGCCCAAAGAGCAGTGTGACGTCATAAACGCCTTTTATCTGTGCGAAGCATGACAGGAATGGTGCGTGATAGTATTCGACACCCAAATTTTGCGCCCGGAAGCCGAACGGCAAGTGGCGTATCGTTCACTTTTATAATAAGCTAAACGCTGCCACCGTTCCGGCACAAACGATAATTTCTGGAAAGGATGTTCTTCAAAACAATATGGTTGGCTGTACAATCGCACCCGACTTGGTCGATGGTCATCACCAATTGCTCATGAGAGCGAGTGATGCTCCGCTGAGGATGTTCTGAGAGTGTCTGGTGATGCTTCAAGGGCTGTCAAAGACACCAGCAACATTTAATCGCTGTGTGACGCGATTGTTTGGGTTCCATCGGGCGTATGCACAGGCATACTTTGACGACATCTTTGTCAACAGTCGTGCGGGACACGGGAGGACAGATAAGGAAAACCTCATCGTTCATTTATGAGCGGTGCTTGAGTGCATGCGCACGAATAAGCTGTATGCTGATGCTGATAAGTGCATTTTCGGCGCGAAAGAAATCGCTTTTTAGGGTGCTTCACTGGGAAGCATGGCCTTCGAGCGGAGGCAATCGTGTACTGGTTCCAAAGATTCAAAAGGACTTGCGCAAGTGGCTTGGCCTCGCCAACTACTTGCACAAGTATAGCGCAAATTATGTGGAAATGGCACGGCCATTGTCTAATTTCATTAAAAAGGATACAGAATGGTGTCAGGACACCGAGTATCGAAAGACTTTTGACAAGGTCATAGACAGCACCCTTTATGCACCAATAATGGCGTTGCCAGACCCCGATCGTAATTTAAGTGTCGTCTGTGACGCTTCGTACATTGCCATCGGCTGTGCACTACTACAAGCAGACGCCGAGGGCGAGATTGGGTGATCGCGTTCAAATCTCGCCAGCTCAAGGCTGCGGAGAGGAACTTCCCGGTCCGCGACAAGAAATTACTTGCGATGAAGTATGCACTTGTCAAGTTCAGGGTGCACCTGCTTGAATCAAAGCCATTTGTGATCGACACAGATCTTGTTTCATCACGCACTGGGACTCAGTCGCTCAACTCTGGCCTGGTGACTCTTATTCTTTGCAGAATATAACTTCGAGGTGAAGTAAAAGCCAGGAAAGCAGAATGCGTTTGATGATACGTTGTCACGCAGACCAGGCTATGAGCTTGCTCATATCACGATGGTGACGTCGTCAGTGACGGATTTGATCCGCGCTGCATACGCGGGTGATAGTATGTGTGTAGCGCTGCGGGAGCAACGAATTTGGAAGCTCAGACAAGAAATTGCGACTTATGGCCGCTCTTCGACGCCGCCCGTTTGCGCGCACGGCGACACCGATATTCGTTGAGGAACGGGTTGCTGTATTACAACATCGCTTCAACGAAGACGCCATGATTTTTCGCTCCTCGCAATGAGCCCACTACACCCTGCTCAGTGGTCATCTCGGTCGTGAGAAGACGTACAGCTCGGTGAGCTGTCACTATTGGTGGCCCAAGCTGTACAAATGGACGAGCACATATGTGCGCACGTTTAAGACGTGTCAGAGGGTAAAACACGCTCCGAATGCGCTAGCACCGCTGGCCAGTTTACCGGTACCCTCCGGGTGCTGGCAGTCCATGAGTATGGATTTTGCGTTTGGTCTGCCAATGGACTTAGCGGGCAACACGAGTGTGGTGGTCTTTGTAGACCATTTGAGCAAAATGACTCATCATGCGGCGGTGCCGAACACCATCGACGGTGTGGGAACAACGATGCTGTTAATGGATCGTGTCTTTTGACAACATGGATCCCCGGAGTCAAGTATCTCATCAAGAGATCCACGCATCACTGGGAAGTTTTGGTCGACAATCTTCAGGGTGCTGGGCACCAAGTAACCTATGTTAACAGCGGACCATCCGCAGACCGAAGGTTAAACTGAGCGCGTGAATGATGTCGTTGAAGACGTTCTTCGCAGTGGCTGCACCGAGACACCGAAGCGCTGGAGCACCATGCTGCTACCTGTAAAATTCGCTCGAAGCAATGCAGTGCATTTATCTACCGGCTACACGCCTTTCTTCGTGAACGGGCTTATTAATCCCGCTGACGCCGCCATCCTATGGCTCAGAGCTTGGTGAGGGAAGGATTAGCCGAGCAGCTAGCTGAGGTCTGCCCCCTCACTGTCTGTTTAGAAATCGATGACTTCCTGTCTAACAGACTGAGTGTCCTAAGATTTGTTGGCGATGCGATGGCTGAAAGCCAAGACATGCAGAAAGAATATGCAGGTGTAGAAACACAAGAAATGTTGCAACCTTTGAGATCGGAGGCCTAGTTTCATCAACTGCTAAAATCTTCCTACACATGCAGTTGCTGCTGTGTTTAAGACAAAGCTCCGCCCATGGTTTATTGAACATTTAAGGTTTTGGTCAAGGGAGGTCTTGTGTATACGGTAGATCTACAGAGAAGGATGCGCGCCCACTCGGTGTTTTATGCTGGCTTGCTTATGCCGTACGGAGATCCGGCGTAAGTGAACGCGGTATCGTTGGCAACGGGGCGGAGCCCAAAGGCGCTCGGCCACCCAGAAGCTGAACCAGCAACTAATTTTGAGCACGCGCTGCAACAATTTCCGTTTCCAACGGCGCAAAGCGCTCCACTGTCGCACAAAGTGACGTATTCGTCTGCTCGACGGCTCGGTGCCGCTCCAACAGAGCACGATAGTCCTCAACGTGAGGCAGTCGGTTCACAAAGTGCTACAAGATTTCGAGGTCTTCCGCACAGCGGAATGCGACCTCGGCAAGATGATCAACAGAGTACCGATGATGACGGACTTTTTCCTCCAGATCTGGAGAATCATCCCAAGTCACCAGGCGGCGATTGACCAAGTCGTCATCGTCCGCCGCCGACTCTTCTCGATGAGAATGGTGGCGTCCACTATGACGTGAAACGTACTGTAGGTCGACCTCGTCGTTCGAACCCAACATCTTGTAAAGTGGCGGGGATAACCAAACTCCGATAATTCGTGGGGGGGTTGAGAAGCCACTTCTGCAAGACTGTGCAGACGTCGTGAACGTTTATGACCAGAAGAATCATGACTCTCCGCGTCGTCGTGCGCCCATCGCTTCTCAGCAGTAGCCTGAGAAGCCGAAGGTCCATAAGCTGAGCTCAAGCTATGGCCCTGAGCTGCTGTGGTCGTAGATTCACCCTTGGGACAAACCACAGAGCTCGCGGGGGCGTGATGAATGAACCATATGTCACAGGGCGACAATACGTTAGTACTCGGCGTTGTGCCTCGAGTTTGGCAAACTCAAATCGAAGATGGCGTTCTACGCGCACTTCCACTTCCTTGTGGCTCCACTTTAAATGAGAAAGCGAGAAAAGTCCCGGTGCCGCTAAACCCATCGCTCAAAGAGCTCTTCATTATATGCAGCGGCTTCGACAGAGGCGAGAATCACAGGAATAGTCTGTATTGCGAGTACAGGAGCGCCTCGTTTTTGAGCTCGAAGTCGAGCGCGGTACCTATCCATTGGGATTCCTTGCGGTAACAAGAAGCGAACTCGGGGAGTTTTCCTCTAATCAAGCTCAGCTTGTGTAGTGACCAGAAGCCCGACTACATAGACGCCTAACAATCTTTTTAGAAGCGTAACGGTGTCGTAGACACGCGAGCCTCGTATTAGGCGACACTTGAATGTGAATTGTGGGTTTTCACAATTTTGATGGGGGTGAGTCTAACAGGGTTACACTTACCCTCGATTGAAAGAGTGTCTCACACAAGATGGTGTGACCGTACATAGGTGTGGATTACACAAGTCGGAATAATCACACAATGGTGCGGCCTCACCGTAACAAGAAGCCACTAGGTTGCAGGACTGTCACGTAGTTATTCATCTTAATTCGATTATTCTATGTGATTAGGAAAACCTAAGGCTCTAGATATCAGCGGCTCTGCCGTAAATAAAACAATTAAATACAGTTTTAATGAGTACATTTGCCTTGGGATTAGGTTTTGGGTACTCTTGGAGGTAGCAGCTTGTGATTCGCTTCACTCGTACTTGTTCTGCTATAAAACGTAAGGTCGGTGACCTTAGTAAGCTTCTTCAAAGCAAAGAGCTACGGCAGCCCCGTTACAGTGCGGCTTTGTTGCACTCATTTTGCACTGGGAGAGAGTGAAAGGTTCACACGCATAGAGTCGGCGACGAAGCAAGCTGAACCAGGTCCAGCTCGTTGGTAAAAAGCCGGATATTAAAGTGGGCTTTAAGGTGGCGAATCCAAACAGTAACCACCAGTAAAAATATTACGGACTCGTATGGTGGGGATGTTGAGCGCATTGAGCACCTTATCCTTTAAAAACGAGTAACCGGTTATCGCCGGATGTGGGCAAAGTTGTATAGACGGTACTGGGACAGGTCTTAATCAAGGATACCTCGGCATCCTCACCGAGATTTTTGCTAAGCACGTCTGTGGTAAAATATCACGCTCTTAGTAGGGTCTCGTTGAGCCAGTTTATTGAGTGTACGGGGGAGAACTCGGTGCAGGTAGGTATAAAGATCAGGCACGGTAGTGCGCTGAGAGATTGAAGTGGAGCGGTTACTTGACAAAGCCAAAATTAGCGTGAGCTAAAGTGTGGTCCGACATCTCAGGCAAGTAACGAAAGTCTGCTAACGATACATGAGTGCCTACAACAAGCACAGTTCTACGAAGAACACCATCGGTGCACGGAGACAACTCGTGTCCTTATAACGAGGTATATAGAATATTATTAAAAGATAGCGCTTTGCGATAAAATGTGATTGAGCTGGTAGCCGGTAGATTAAAATGAAACGTTAATGATATGCAATCTTTACGTGATTGATTTTGAGACCATTATCAGGTTAGTTACTTGTACATATCTTGCCATTACTTCAAGAAAGAGTCACAAGCCTACATCCGCCCGCTGATTGCACAGCCGGAGGGTAGAAAGCTGGTCCGGTATCTCAGCAAGTACAACC